TAAACTGGATTTCCCCAAGCTTCCTTAGCTCACAGTGTCCCACAGGCCTGTAAAACACTCCGATCCAATAACAATGAACGCTCCCCTCCGGAGCTCTCAGCCTCTGTCTTTACGGGCTGCATCCTAGCCGCAGACTGAACACCCTTTGCTGTTTAAAAGCTTCTTAATTAACCCAGAGGAGTGGTTATCTCCATGCAGAGACTATCCTGACAGCTATATTCCCTCACGTGGAGTTTCACTCCCTCCGAGGGCTAATTATTCCATCTGTACAGCCTTGCCTCATTCCGCAACTTCTTCCAATTAACAGGTAGCCATCGTGGCACTGGGCTGAAGGTCTGAGCAAAGATGAAGATCTTCTCACACAGCCACTTATCAACACGACGTATCTTGTTGATGAAATGCATCAACACTAACTAATTTTCCATAGAAAGCTCACAATTTACTTACCAACTGTCAAATAGATTTGTTGCCACAAAAGCAAGAGTACACAGACCCTCACTGCACTCCCGAAATTGGCACTTGGGAAGAGTCCAAACTTGACATGAGCCAGGCTTGAACCTGGCTGCAAGATAAGGCTCAACTTATGCACTGAGTGCATGCCTTTCCTGGATGATTCCCTTGTGAGCTTGTCATACTCAGTGTTTTTAAGAAACTTTTAAGGCCAGTGTATGTTTTTCTCAGAACTAACAGTACGCCTTAACATCCCTCTAATACATTTTGCGAAAGCAGAAAAGTGATCAATCTGAAAAATGTCTTCCAAAACAATAAGACATCTTCTAATCTTTTTCTGCTTATCACGGGCTTTTGTCATGCCAAGATCAGAGCACGCAATAATAATGGCTCTGAAAGTCTGTGAATCAGCCGACACTAAGATTATCCACTTCAAGTCTAGCATTGAGGAGAATGGGTGTTATCTGAGTTAAACAGAATCAAATGATAGGAAAATGGTTTATCACTGAAGGGTTGATGATATGCAATCAAGCTCTGGGTTAGAAGAGTGATCCAAAATTTGCAAGACAGCAAACAAGACTTCTGTAACTATTGTAACTAAAATATTATGTCACGTTTGCAAGAGGATAAAAATGCATTTAAAAACCTAAATAGGAAAGTGCAAAGTGAGATAATTATCTAAACCAAAAAGAAAATGATACTAAGGTATACAGCAATATGCAAACAAGAAATATATAACAAACATAAAAATCTACAATTTGACTTAAAACTATTTTGTATATTACCCTCAATACTTGATATATCTTCTCAGAGCATCAAATAATCCCCTTTTGAAATGCACAGATAATATTGATCCATATATATGCAATTACTTTTACTTCACATTCAGCACAATAGGTTCTGACAGCCTACAGAATACACATCCCATGATGCTCCAAGCAGTTTGACATCTTTTCAAACGTTTGGAGATACTCAAGAACATCCATTTCTTGAAAAGTATTATGTTTCTTGTATGAAACAATCATATAAAAAAAAACCTTCCCTAGATAATAATTGATACAATTGTCAATCATATTCCTAGGTCTTTTTTCCCAGCAGAAGCGCTTGTCCTTTATCGACAATACTCAGTTCACACACACCCAAAAAAATGAAAGGAACAAATATGGCAGAAAACTATTCAATTCCCTTACTGAAAAGAATGGGGTAAACAAACAGTAGGATCTCTTATGAGTTCCTTAATTGAACATGTTTAAAGTGTCTGAGTTGTCACAATTTATCTACAAAATCTACTAAATTTACAGCAGCCATTATTACTTATGGATTTCTAAAAAATTACATTTTAATAGGTAATTAAATTCAGCTTTGCACTGAATAAAAATCCAACTTTTCATTTTGGATACAACCCTGACACATTTTAAGCCCTTGTTTTATCCTACAAATAATGAAGTTGGAAAGTCACGTTGACATCACCTTAGATACCACTGCTCATGGAATAGTAGCGTGTTTTGGTCACTGAAGCTCCTGCCATATGACACTGTGCATGCTGGGATGTTATTTGTTTGAACATAGCGTGCCTCATTTACTCATATGTTTCCATTTTTTGTCCACTATGTACTGTATATCTTAATCAGGGGATTGTGTTTAGATTATGGACAGCAACCATATCACCCAGCAACTCACAACTGGCAGCCCACAGAGTGTTTCTCAGCAGGAGTGAGCCTGGATGGGAGACCTCCTGGGAAAATCTAAGGTTGCTGCTGGAAGAGGTAATAGAGGGGGTCTCAGTAGGGGTCGCTCACCCTGCAGTCTAAATGGGTTCTAATGCCCCAGTATAGTGATGGGGATACTGTACTATAAAAAGGCATCATCCTTCGGATTAGAAATGACCACCATCTGTGGTCATTAAAAATCCCAGAGTGTTTCTTGAAAAGTGTTGCGATGTTACCCTGATGTCCTGCCCAAAATTTCCCATTGGCCTTTATCAAGCATGGCATCCTAATAACCCCCATCTCTGAACTGGCTTCATCACTGTGCTCCCCTCCCAATGAGAGCTGGTGTGTGGGAAGCGTACTGGCGCACTCTGGGTGCTGTCATGTCATCCAAGTGGGGCTGCACACTGGTGCTGGTGGAGGGAATCCCCATTACCTGTAAAGTGCTTTGAGTGGAGTGTCCAGAAAAGCGCTATATAAGTGTAAGTAATTATTATTAACAAACCATTTCCAAACCTGATCGTATGGGTCCAGCTACCATATTATCTTCTATATAAGGGCCCTGTGCAGCTGTGGTTGACTATATCCATAGTTTTAGATAACGCCCCTTTGTTTCCTACTCAACAAGGCTTACCTTGAGGGAAATTCATCACTGATATGAAATGCAGAAACATTTTTGGAAGACGAGTTGAAACAGTCTGTGAAGGCATGTGGAAGAGTCCCGTGGAGTTGCTGATAGGCAATCCTTAGTTTTACTTTGGCTTGAACCATCTTGATTAGTGTGGTGACAATCTGGCCAATATACAGTATGTGAGAATAATATGGCAGCCTAGAGGGAGACAAGCCAGCAATGTTTTCCTAATTTTTCAGATAGTGTACGATACCAAGGAAAAACATCAGGTTTGCCAGAGAGCAACTAGATGATTCACAGGACTACAAGATAGAATGTTCTGTGGATGGATAAATGAAAAGTATAACTTTTGGTATCAATGGGAGATAATTTGTGTGGTAAAAATCTAACTCTGCCTTGCAACAGAAGAACCTCATGCTTGATTGTACAGTAGGAACATCATGGCTTGGGACTATGTTGCTGACAGTTTGCCTCATTAAAGGTAAACATTAATTTAGAAGTGTGTTAGCAAATTCTGAATGAGACTGTCATCTGAAGCTGATCCAAAAATGGGTCATACAGCAAAATGATGATCCTAAACATACAAGCAGATACTGTATACAACAGAATGGCAGATATTCAACATTAATATTCACATTTGCCTCTTGTTATTAAAATACAGGAGTTTATTTTTGCAATGTTATAGAACATTCAACATTCACTATACATCTTCATAAAATAACAAGCACTATAATTAGCACTGATATCAAATTTTTGAAGAACGCTTTTAAGACAATTGAGAATCAGAATATCAGTTAAATAACATGGGAACAATATCTTTAATCATCTGAAGAGTAAAGAGAAGCTGCTGATAATAGGGTCTTCTGGATTTATGTATTCATGCCCCTGGTTTGTTTCTCTTCAGATAGTTTTCTTTAAAAAAATCCTCTTGAGGAATGGACACTTTAATCCCATTAATCTTGCGGTTGCCAGATGCATTCTCTGGGTGTTCAAGTCCGAGTTTAGGAAAATCAGAGTTTCAGTGTAGAGTCAAGGGTCCATATCGAACTAGCTGCGAGGGCCTAAAACACTGAATGAAGTGCAGTTGAAGGTCACTTTTCCAAACCACAAGTCAAGTTCAGCCTTTCACCTGAGAGAGAGAGTCTTTTATATCCCTTAGGGGCAATTTGTTTTTTTGTCTCTGTAACTCAGAGACGTGCTTTTCCAATGAGAATTATGGTGTGAAGGAAACAGACTGAGCAGATATGACAACACATAGCCTACAGTATTCTTTGCTCACTAGCAGACCAAACAACTATACCAGCATGGACTCAGCTGTAAATGACATCTCCACTTTTATTTTGATGGGGTATCATCACATCTACGGTAAATCCTCACAGTACTAAGATCATATTATGTGTCTTTTTGAATTGACTAGCAGTTGAATAGCTATGTAAATAAAATACAGACTCTATACTGTACGGTAGTATTTGAAGTGTGGTGAAAGCATTACTTTGTGTGGTGCTGGTCCTTGTTGAAAATCCTTATCCCATCCAGTAGTGGACCAATATGCCAGGAATGGTTCAAAATATGATGAAGTAATCTCTGAATCTACAGTAATTTACTTGGAATATTTAAACTTTTCTTTATCCATTCACCGATTTATCACAGTAAAGTGTGCTTATGAGAATCTAATGGACAAGATATCAGAAAAAAACTAACTGAAATGTCAATCCAAATGATCTTGCATTTATAACAATTTCTTTTCTGTTACTTTAAACCTGGGATTTTCTTTTCAAAGTGAATATCACATTGATTGATTTATGCTAATATGTATGGAAATTAGCAAAAGAAAAGCCCCCATTCCACTGACATGGTGGCCTTTAAGTGCGATGCAACCTCTAACATGTTGATGAATTGAGCTACACATGAAGGTGCTCAATGTATCATGGGTGAATACCCGTGAAATTGAAGTTTATGACATAAAAAAAAATACAAAAAAGTACAAAACCTGGACGTTTACTGACCTTCCGTAATTACAATAAATGCAATAAAATGGCTGTTTCCTCCCCTGATCTCAAGCTAGTCACCTGGCTTTCTAGAGCGAGTGACGGCCATAAAGCACAGCAGGGTGCAAGGAGGTATCGGAGAAGCAGGGCTGCAGCTGGTTAGGAGAGGGAAGTACAGCAGCTGCCTATAGCAGGAGCCTGGGGAGGCATGGCTCCACTTACCTCCTCGCTTGTTGAGTTTGGCGTATCCCGGAGCATAGCTGCTGGAAAACATGGAGGAGCTGGTGAAGGAGCTGTGCTGGAGAGGTGCTGCCATCGGCTCGTCACACTTTTCTGGGAGAGACAAAAAAAAAAACAGAATAAAGTGAAATTTAGGCCACGCGAGGTCTCAGAACAGGCACCATGAACACACGGTGCCGTGAACAATGACACTGTGCTTCGAACGCAGATTGGGTTCTGGTGAGGTCTGAACCAATGCAGCACAGTGCAGGGGAATTCTGGGAATTCTGGGAACTCTGTACTTGACGCAGGCCACCAGTCCATCTGCAGGCGTGAGACAAGCCTTTCCTAGGCCAGCTCACTCTGAGTGCAGACGAGCTTGCCCACACCCGGCTGACTGAGGTCGAACAAATTCAAGCTCACGCCAGAGAATTTTAGAGATAAAAGCAGAGCAGTGAATCAGAGAAGGATCACACTCAAGCCAAAAGGAAATTAAATATCTAATTTATTTCGACAACTTTGCTGGCATCCTGTCCTCCAGACAGATGCAAAAAATATTTTGCCACTGGCAGAAAACACCTTTACAGTAGTTAATCAGTTATCAGTAAATTATTGTGAGCACTGGCTGGGATTTCAATCCACAATATTCAGCACCATAGAGTTTAGCAACTTTTTGTCACACAGATGTGTGTCTCTCAGGGCATACCACACCACACACAAGCATGTTTAAATCACCTCGACAACATGATCATTTTGAATATTTTCAACACCTGGCACGTTGGCGAGAATATTCTGAAGCCTGGACAGTGCTTCATCTCTCTCCTCTGTCTCCTTTCAGTCCAGTGCTGGAGCTGTGAAGTCCGTAGGTGTTTAAAATTTAAATTAGGCATGGGCAGAAAAAAAGCTGGTTTCTGCTTGGCTCAGATAAATGTGGACCAGGGGAAAAATAATCTAATTTATGTGTTATACACCCCATTATAATAAATTTTGTATTCCAATAATGGCAGCATGAGTACCAGGCATATAATACACCTGAACATCTTAGTGCTATTGCCAGGAAATGAATGCCTTTGGCACCATGAAGATAGTGATGCACTGCAATGCTTCGCAGACGATTGTGGCTAGAAGCTCAATTAACTAACTGAAACATTAACGTCAGCAGACTTTAGAAAGATGGAGCTCTTTTTAAATGAATGGTTCCTGGGGTTATTACTGTGGCACAGCTATTGTTTCACCAGCACTCACTCTCATCGAAAGCCAGTTTCTCCTGCAGCATTTTTAAACTGCCTTTTAAAGCACCGAACACGGCTGCATCATTCTGTGGTTTCAATTACCTGTGGCACGTAAACACAAACATGTTTGTAAGGGTAACAGACTTTGCAAAATGATCACTCAATTGTTTATCTGTGAAGGTGCTGAAAATATTTAATGGTCAGACTTCTATTGCTGCCAAAAACTGCAGAAGGTAGTGACATAGATTAATGGGTGATTTTCCACAGATTACAATGAACTTTAATCTTCTTCCTGTTACTGCAGTCATCAGCTCACCATGAGGCATCTTCCGTATTGTAATTATAATCGGTTTATCATTATTTATTAAAACTGAAAGTTCTATATTTCTTTGAAAGATAATTGACTTATAAATCCCAAAGTTATTGATGTCTTTTCTAATCCCTCTTGAACTAAAAAAGATGTTTGTACCGTGTGTTTAGGCTGTGCTTTACAAGTAAAGTACTTCACAGGGCTCTGCTTTGATTTCACATTTAAGCTATAAAAACATGCTTTGAAATATTTGTGATTCAATTAAAGCGTCTGTGATCCAATTAGAGCAATTAGTCAGCAGATAGGAAAACGGGTTTGACAGACTTGTTAGAAGACATTGCACTTGACCCCAAGGAAAGATGAGGGTTTCTTTCATCTTCCTCAGGACATCACAGATTGATGTCAGGTGTTCCCAGTCTGCAGTCTGCAAATAGCCGCTTGGTGAAAAGTGGTCTTTCACTCATTTCAAGGCCTGCTGTCCAGTGAACTCACACTGGGCAGGTGCTGTATCATTCCGGCGGTAGTGCAGTTATCGTACACTGTAGCAAAGTGGGGTTCCAGTGTAACCAAGACGACTCTGTCATTTTGTCACAGTATCTAGTGTCTTTTTTACTTAGTTGTTGCCCATACCCTGCCAGTGAAGCCCACAAACCAACCCCCCTGTTCTCTTGTCTGTGGCATTGCTGCCTGTTGGTGCTTCCACTGGCCTGACCTTGTTCAGCCAGTGAGCGAATGTGTGCTTATCATGTGGCTAGGAAAACCTATTAGAATCCCTGCTGTTGTTCAATTTACTGTGTCTCTTACATGCGCTGATCTGCAGACATACAACACATGCAATACTGTACATGAGCATTTAAGCGTTCAATGTGAAAACCCTTGTTATTAAGAGGCTGAGATAATGAGGTTCATTTCCTAAATTTTTTGTCACCTGTGGGGTAAAGTTCCAATTTGTCTTCAATCACATGCGCAGTGAAATTGAAGTGCTAATCTTAGACCCAGGAGGATTTCTGCTCACAGCATAATTCAGTTACATTTTCCCTAATTTGACATTTATGTATGTACGTGGGAGAAATGGGAAATGGGACCTTTTTTAGGATTAAACACTTCTTAGGGAGCTATGACAATAAGCTGCAACTGTTGGTATTGAATTCAACTTAAAAAAACAACCTCAATTAATGCAAACCAAACAGCTAAGATAAAGCATCCTGTCACATTGTCATTGATGCCAAGCACTTTGCAGGCAGTATATAATATATTTGTAAGATGCAAAACATTTTAGGAGATTCTGGCGTTAATGGGTAACAAATAGCCCAATGTATTACATTTAGTTAAGCAACAATAAAAAGCAGAGAATAAAGGAGTTGTAGACATATAAATTAAGTCAAAGAGCTATAGACTGTCAAAGAAAATGTGTTCTAAAATATAAATGGACAAAAGAGTGCAATGTGTCACATTTGATTATATCAATATAAGATTCAACAATAAAAGCATTGTTTACTTTAATGAGTAATTATTTGTTTCTAAAAAGAATATAAAAAAGTGAGTTTAAATATCCTTTTTTTATATTTTGTGGGCAGTGATAGAATTTAAAAAAGTAAAATGTAAAATAAAATACAGATGTAAAATAATTTTAACAAACTGTATGCCACACACGGTGAGAAAATGCTCTTATGGGGATAAGCCTACACATAAATGAGTTAAATGGCCGCTTTTGAAGTATTTTGCAGTAGCTTAAGTACAGTATGTGTGGGCGCACAAAGCCTTCTTATTTTCAATTAAAAGGTAAGGAGTTTATTTACATACTGTATAAGAAGCTTTTTTACATATAAGCCCTGCAGCTCCATCACTACTTAAGACAGTCATTCTTCATGACATTTTGCAAGGTACTCTTTTCTATGCCTAGTATGAACTGAAAGATGGTAGAAATAAAATTCTGTACATAAAATGACCTGTAAAATAAGTTCCACTTTAACGCTTAATCACAAAAAACAATTCCTGATTTTTAAGAGTGGTGCGAGTTTGAATGTACAGGATGTACTGTAGTACTGGGCAGAAGCACAAAGGATGAAGGGTTTTCATGCACATACAGTACTGTGCATACAAACTCTTACAAAGACAAGTTACTGACAACAACTAGCCTGCCGTGCAAATGAGGAGTGCAATTGTTTATAATGGATAATATTCTCATCTTCACATCAATTATTGTTGTTAATCGTGTTTTCATTTATTTATTTTTCTTATTTTCCATATACTTTGTGTATAGTACAGTAGCCGTAGAGATTGTTCTATATAATTGAGATGGAGGCATCTTCATACAGTACTGTATACACAATATATGAAAGCATTTTTCAGCACTTTCTTTATTAAATATGTGTGTTTCTTAATAATGGTTTTGCATGGATGCAGTTGTCCTTTTCCAGAATTACACAAAATGTTGATCAATAATAAATTATGCCACTGTGAAAGGATCTTGTCTGACTTTCAGTCACTTATTCATGCAGTGATTGGACACGTTTCTCACTGCTGACATACAGTATGGACATTTTACTGGCATCTTGAAAACTTTCTATTCTTCACAGAATGGTACAATACATTCTCTCAGTGTGAAGTCTGGAATCCATCCCCAGCAAACCTTTAATTATGTTTGACAAGGATATCCTCAGACCAATTAGCTAATAGCAACCAAACACTACAAATGAGAATTTCTTCTCAGTTGACTTACCTGATACAATAAAGGAATAACAAGCTACACAGGGTGAATTGGCTTATTTGTAGTGTTTCTTACACTATTGTACAAAAGTCTTAGTCAACTTAAACACATTTAGGACCTACTGTATATTGTATGTACCTGTATGTTTCAAGCACCAGCAATTTACTGAAAGCCTCCTTTTCTTAGTATCATAATAAATTTGACTTTTATTAATACATCTTAGTTTGGATGAGAAGAAATCAAGCTGGTCATCACAATTCTCTGACACTCATCAGAATCTTCAAAGTTTTGATCGCAACTCAAATTCAACTATACTGTACATGTGCATCCAAAATGAAGTATTGTAGTAGCTCATCCATCACATTCGCCAGTTGGGTCTATTTGACTCAGTAAGATGTTCCTCATCATTAGCATCATTTGTTTCTCTCCACAGCTCTACAAAGTCGAAAGGTTAATTTTAAAATGGTACAGCTAGAATTTCTATTGAAGATCAACAGAGGATTGTATTTCTGCATAAAGAAGGAGAGTCAACAGATGGCGAAAAAAAACCAAACTTGTAACCATCCAAAGAAAGTAACTGAAGCAGATTTACACTAGGAAGCCAACATAAGAGATGAGGACTTGCAGCTTTTGTTCAGAAAAAGAGTCAATCAGAAATGCTCAGCACAGGCATTAAAGTAGCACACCATGTGTTACACAGAGTGGAGAATGGTGTTACACCCATATGGAACACTTGTTTCGCTTTCCAGCTCCCAGTGGAAACAGGGCATGATCTTTGGAAACCAGTCAAGAAGTCAGGAATTACAGTACACATACAGTAAGAGCAGTTACAAACGAGAAGAAACCATTCTGCCCATTCAGC